GAAAGAGTAACTAATTCTTTCTCAGATTTTTGCTCTCTTAAACGAACTGTGTCTTCTACAGCACACATACAAGGTGCTTTATTCCTTAATGGGTTTTAGTTCATATGCCAATAAAATTTTGTCAAGGGATATACTGTTTGGCTTTAAGAAGGGGAATCAATCTAATAAACTCCAAGGAAGAGAGTTTTCCAACTCATATGGCGGGGAGAGGGTGTTTTGGAATGGGCTCCAGGCAGGGCTTCATGGGCATGTGACCTGAGCAGCTGCACAGGGCCTTGTGCTTATAACAACCCCTGCTTGGATTAATGTTCTGCTGCTACTATCTTGAAATTCTTAATAATTTTACCTTTGATCTTGTGTTCTGCACTTAAAGTGTGATGAGACAATGGAGAATGCACATGGGCAGAGGAGATACACAAAATATGCTGTCTGCTGGCTCCTTGCTACCTGTCCCATGCGCACATAGCCTTAGCAGTGCTCCACAAGCATGGACTATCAACAACCCGCAATGCCTGGGAGTTTGGAGAGATCCAAGGACAGCGCATGAGAAGTATGCTACTCACTTTATGACTGAGTAAGTAGCAGGGCTGACTACCCTGAGAGGCTTACTCTTCATCTGAATGCATGAAGGAAAAATGATGTCTCCTACTAAACATGAATGATCAAGAAGCCCTATATATCCTTAGTTGTGTTACTTCCATGTACAGATGCTCCTCAATTTATGATGGTTAGTTGAAAATATCGTTAAGTCGAGAATCCATTTAATAAATCTAACCTACTGAACATCATAGCTTAGCCTAGCCTACCTTAAATGTGCTCAGAACACTTACATTAGCTTATGGTTGGAAAAAATCATCAAACACAATGAATACACTGTAGAAGAGCATCAGTTGTTTACCTTCGTGATCACATGGCTGACTGGGAGCTGCACCTAGCTGCTGCTGCCCAGCATCACGAGAGAGTATCATACCGCATATACCTAGCCTGGGAAAAGATCGAAATTCAAAATTCTAAGTACAGTTTCTACTGAATACATATCACTTTCCCACCATTGTAATGTTGAAAAATAGTAAGTTGAAGCATCATAAGTCAACAATTTACTCTAAAAATGATCCCTGTGTTAGCCAACAATTTACTTTAAAAATGAAGACATAGAAAGAAAGGGAAATGCAGGATGATCCATAGGTCCTTTTCCTGACAGTCCTTTTATCCACATCAGTAAACTGAAAGGAGAGAGTTGGTACAATATGTACATATGAAGAGTGAAATAAAAATAGAAAATAGGTAAAAGTTAGTTCTGTGTAGTGCTTCCAGTGTTCTGGTAAGAATGAAATATATCCATGTAGGAGTTATGAAATACAAATTGTATAATTTTGGTGATTCCGTATGTGAGTTAAATGCTTTTATATTTGCACATTAAATGGGCATTGCACAATACAAAGAATGATAAAATTAATGATAAAATAATTTAAATTTTTAATATTTCTTTACTTAAAATAACATTAAACAATAAATAAAAACTATCAGATCAAGTCAAGAGAAAAGCCATAAAAGAATGGAAAAAGCTTTACATTTTAGCATAGTTAAAGGCATTTTCCCCTGCTTTTTGAACAAGGAGCTCCATATTTTCATTCTGCACTGGTACCCATAGGTTACATAGCCAGACCTGGTTTCAGGTATGTCCAAACTATTGCTAATCTTCTAAGTCCGTGAGGGGCTTGCAGGGGCTTGAGTGGTGGCTTCTACCCTCCCTCCCTACCTGTTGCCCTGACATCAGACAGCCTTGAACCTGTACTAAGAATAGAATTTTCAAGGCTGGCCATGAGGTGAAAGGGGTAAGGAAGCTCATTCTTGCATCTTTCACAGGCATCCTGATAGACTTGACTGTGCATAAAATCCTGAAAAACCCAAGTTAACCACGGGAGAACACTCTGAGTCCTTGTACTTGCTATGTGTCCTCTGCCTGGAATGTGCCCTGCCCCCTGGGGACAGCTTCTCTCTCATCCCTCCATTCTCAGCCTATATGCTCTGTGCAGAGGTCTTCCCTCAAAGGTTTCACCGCCCCCCGCCCTTAGTTCCTTTACAGACCTCGATTAGCTTGTGTGTCTTCTCTATGAAGCATGGAGGAAAAACCGTGTCCACTTTGGTCCCCGTGCACCCCAAACTCCTAGCATGGGGTTTGGGAGTCCACAATGACTGTTTGTTTGGTAAACAAATGAATGTAAGGAGGCACCCATGACTAGGATGTTAGGTTATTCAGTGTTTTTCCAAATTCAAATCTAAGATTTATCTCAATGAAGCAGTGAATTCTAGACATAAACTATAATACAAACTAGTTTAGGCTTTTGCCAAAGCATATAAGGACCAGCATGTTTTAACAAACAGGTTAAGAGGGCAATTAATTATTAATAGCCTAGACAAATATCTATAAATATTTAAAATTTCTAAAAATTGGTATTAGTAATTTTTAAAAGAAAATGTTAAAAAAAAAAAACCCTCCTTTTTTCCCCCTTATTTTTTCCACTTCTCCCAACTTTTCTTCTTATTTTACCTTTGGTTTCTGGCATGAATATTACCCTTTTTGCAGGCAGAAATTAAGGAACAGAATGATTAGCTAAGTGATTACAAAGTTTTCCCCATTGGCTACATCTCTACAAAAATTATATATATTATTTTTTGTTTTAAATAATTTATTTGAATAGTACTAACTAAATCTTTTCAAGGTATAAGACAAAAGAAAAATATTAAAATATTTTATAGTAATCAACATGATAGGTTTTGCTACTTTCTCCTTCCTAATTTCTATACTAAGTTGTCAAATTGGCTATTTTATGAGTTATTTTAGAATACAGAATTTACTGACATTAGCATCAGTAGCCCTACCTGGCATCCACATTAGTTCAATATGATTGCTTGAAAAGTTTTTAAAGTAATGCTGAATCTTATCCTTAGAACTTTTAAAAATAATGTTTTCCTGAAACCTGATTATTCTGATGCTATATTAACTCTTACTTGAGAAAGCAATGTTCAACAAAATAACAAAGCACGTATTTTGTAATGAGAAGTTCAATGTAGAGAAGGTGATGTGACAAAAATCACAATAGACTTATATAAAATGAAATTTTTGTTTGCAAATGATTTTTTTTTTGCCTTCCTCTGACATACTTGACTGATGAGTGTCCTGCTCATCCTAGTTGACATGCAAACTGACAAGCCAATTGCCAAATAGATCTTTCTGATTTCTGCCAAGAACCCCTTTTCAACAGCATGTGAAATAAAAACTCCATGCTGAAGGCTGAATCGACACCAGCCATAAGATTAAGTCTAGAGTGCTGTGGAAATCACTGCAAAGAATGCCATCTCCCAAACATGCACCACTAGCCTGGACAAAAGCACGGGGAGCATGAAGAAAGGAATAATGCTGCCCTAGCCCCCGGGGAGGGACCAGATGGGACCTAATAGCTCTTTTCTACTACTAATTTCTATGATAATTCCAAGTTGCCACATGGCATATGTATTTTTTTTTTAATCTAAAGAGAATATCAGTCAATGAAATGACTAGGATTTTAATGAAAGGTATTTTTCATGAACTGTATCTATTCACACATGATATTTCTCACCCATCCCTCATCCCCAACCTCCAGCAACACATCACTTACAGTTAGGTTGAGAGAAGTAGAGAGAGCAAGGTCAAACACAATATGTACAATCATTATCAACATCAATTAGAAACAAAGTGGTTCTAAGTTTTATTAGGAGGTCAGATGCCTTTTGCAGCAATTTCATACAGTCACCTTAATTTCTTTTTCTTATAATCAGAGCAAATGCCTGGATTTTATGATTATAGAATGCCAACTAATGTTTAGGGGGAAAATTATAAAAGTGAAATTTCTTTTGTTTTTAAAGAGAAGACCAGGAATCAGAGAAGGAGATATTAATTATCTGGGAAAATAACAAAAGAATCTCTAGCCATTCTTATTGATGAGTTTAAGTACAACCTGGTTGAGGGTGCCTTTCCTTGCCCTTCCAACCAGATGCAATTTCTCCCGCCTCTGACCTCCTGGAACACTGTTTGTATTTCTCTGGTGGCACTTGCCACATTCTTTGATTTATTAGAGTCATTTCATTTGCTGTTGGTTTCTGGTAGGCATTCTGAGTGACCCCATTACATTTTCCTCAGCATTCTACCTTAGATAAACAACAGACTGCAACAAATAGGGATAAATGCAGGAGATGGAACTTGTAGAAACATATCCGAGAAGATATGAGCATCTTTTGGTAGTCATAGCTTCTCAGCACAAACTTATGTGACTAAATCGTAAAAATAAACTCTAAGTTTGATGCAGCACATAATTATTACGTTTAATATCAACTAACAAACGGCATGAAAATCACTGTTATTTTCAACACAGCTTGAAAACAATTCTCTCTTCACTCTTCAATCCAGTTAATACTTACCTCTTATAAAAACTGCCAGGAATCTGGATTCAGAGAAGGTTAATAAGTTGCATATTTAAAGCAAAAAGATACAAGCTCTGGTAGAGTGGGATGAGGCACTTCACGGCCCTGCTGGCATTGATGCACGTGGCACATATTAGGCTTGGCAGTAGCTTCCCACTCACTATGGCTCCATCAAACAGAGGCCCAAAAAACGGAACCTGTTGATTCCAAACAGAAAAACACTTAATTTTCAAAAACGAGTAAAAGTAAAACCAAAGACATGAGAACAGCTGATTGATATCTCAGACTTGTCATGAACACAAAGACTGTCACCCATAGAATAAATGCTGACTTTAGCAGGGACACAGGTCAAGGGCTTTCAAATCAAGGAAAACAACATTGCTCCACAATGTTCCTCTACTATGAACTCTTTAGCAAAATTTCTGATGACAAATTGTCACCAGGTTATTCTTTTTTGTGTTGGTTGTCATTTACAGAAATGGCATTATTTTTTCTGAGTGCCTATGCTGTGTGGATTATGCACAATACACAGCCCTGCTTTACTGCATACCTCTAGCCTTGATCCTTTTGAAACCAGTTTTGGAATTGGCAATATTTCTGCATGGATCCTGATACATAATAACTTTTAATGGAGATGATGACTGGTCCTGTTAGCAACTATAAGGTCCTACTTAAAGTCCTTATTCTAAAAACTTCTTTCCCTCTGCTTCCAAGATATTGTATTATTCTCGCTTCTTTTTCTTTTTTCTTTTCTTCCTTTTTTTAAAAGAGACTCAGCTTTCCTTTACTGGACCCACTTCTACCATGTGGGTAACCCACAAGGTTTTGGCGCTTTTCTTTTTTGTATTTCTTCCTTTTCTCTTTCATTTTTTATTTTCCATTAGAATTTCATCGACTCCACTTACTAATATGGAGATTGTCAGCTCCATGAGGTCGAGGACTGGGTCTGCCTTGTAACTCATATTTATTCATTCATACTTGCTTACTCATTTATTCAAAAAATATTTATTATGTGACAGACACTTTTATTCACTGAGGACATAGCAGTAAAAAAAAAAATTCCTAATTTTACTGAGCTAAGAATTTATTGGCGTTTTCAGAGAGTGAACACCATAAATACATAAAATGTATATTTTAGGTATTAAAAGTGCTAAGGTGAAAAATAAAGCAGGGAAGATCAACAGGACTCTTTTTGATGGGGGGCGGGGAAGTTCTCCAATTTTAGATCGCATGGTCAGGGGGAGCTTCAGGGAGGGAATGATACTTCAGTAAAGACTTGACAGAAGTGAGGGGATGAACCCCGAGCTATGAGGTTATCTCATAGAGCAAGAGCATTCCAGGCAGAGGAACAGCAAATACAACAGCCCTGTGTTGGGAGTGGGATTAGTATGTGTAAGCAATAGCAAGGAAGCCACGGTGGCTGAAACCAAGTGGAGCAAGAAACGAAATAGAAGGAGATTAAGTTCGACAGGTAATACCAAAAGGGGACTTCTCAGAAATTTTAAGGATTCTGGATTTCAGCTCTGAGTAACATGAAAGGCTTCTAGAGGGCTTAGGGAAGGGGGATATAATCTCACCTACATTTTAAAGGTACTGCCTGGCTGCTGTGTTGGGAAGCTGTAAAGGGTAAGCATTATGGAGACCAGTTAAGGAGCTACTGAATAACCCAGCAAGAGATAATGATGACTTGGATCAGAATGGTAGCAGGAGAAGTGGGAAGAGTTGATCGGTTTGTGGATATAGTATGAAGTTAGAGCTGACAGGATTTGTGGAGGATTATTAATGAAGTGGGTATATAAAAAAGGAGTCAAGGATGATGTTATGGTTTGTGGCCTGGCAACTGCAAGAGTGGAGTCACCTTTTCCTAAAATGGATTAGTGATCCTCAGGGGGAGGGTCACTAGCTCAATTTTAGACATGCTAAGTTTGAGATGCCTATTAGGTATCCAGTGGTAATGCATGAAGGTGGCAGAGGATACATCAGGCTGGAAGCCAAGGCTCAGGTTGGAGATTTATGAGTTACTCATTTATAGAAGGTGTTTATAGCCATGAGATTGGATAATCGGATAAGCAAGAAAAGAGGTTCAAGGACTATATTTTATGGCCCTCCAATGTTTAGAGATTGGAGACACGAGAAAGAATTCACAAAGAAGACTAAGAAGAAGTAGCTGGAAATATAAAAGCAAAATCTCTAATGAGTAGCACTGTACCTGGTTGGAAGACAAATGTCAGTTGAATGAATAAACTGATATTTTAAATAATTTGAATGAATGAATGAATGATTGTCTCCAGCCTCTGGGTTATGTCAGAGACTATTTCTCTGTAGAACACCTTTTCTGTGGTTGACACTGGGGAAGGGGCTTGGGATACATTGGTGAATGAAAGACCATATTTGTCTATAGGTGCTGACATAAGAAAACTACAGACTAACATTCTTTGACAAAGATATAAAAATCTGTTATAGATTGTTAACCAATTAAATCCAGCAGTATGTATAAAGGACACTATATCTTGACCAAGTGGTATTTTGCATAAAAAACCAAGGTTGTTTTAACATTCATAAATCCATAAATACAATTTACTAAATTAACAGAATAAAGAAGAAAAACCACATGATCTTCTGAATAGATAGAGAAAAAGCATGGATAAAATTAAATTCTCATTCATGACATAAAAAAATTCCTAGCAAACTGTGAATAGCAGGGAACTTCTTCAATTTGATGCAATCTTAAAGGAAAAAACATTATGACATCATAAGTAACGCTAAAAATATTAAATGTTTTCTCCCTAAGAGCTGAAAAACCAAGGTTGTCTATGCTCACTTCTTCTAGTCAATATTTTTGAATGTTATTTGTCCTTGTTATTGCGATAAAGAAAAATATGAAAAAGGAAAGAAAGGAACATAAAGATTAGAAAGAAGTAAAATCATTTTTATTCGCAGGTGACATAAGTATGCAATATATTCTTCAAACCAATTATATTTCTCAGTGTTAGCAACAGCTAAAAAAAAATGACATTTAAAAATACTGTTCATGATAGCATCAAAAACACCAAAATCTTAGAAATAAACTTGATAAAAGCTATGAAAGACATCTATACTTAAAACTACCAAACGCTGCTGAGATAAATTAAGGACAACGTAAATAAATGGAAAGATGTACAATGTTCATGGATTAGAAGTTTCCATATTGGTAAGATGTCGAGTTTTCTGAAACTGGGATACAGATTCAGCACAAATCAAATCAAAATTTTAGTAAGCTGTTTTTTATACATATGGATAAGCTGATTCTAAATTTATATGGAAATGAAAAGACATAAATTAGTCAAGACAATAATAAGATTTATATTATCTGATTTCAAGGCATACTATAAAACTACAATAATAAGCATATCATAATATTGACACCAGGATAGACAATAGAGTCCAAGAATAGAGCCACATATATATGGTAATTGATTTGTAATAAAGGCAGCACATTAATTTTACAGAGAAAGTAAAGTCTGTTTCAATAAACAACTGGATAGCCATACTGAGAAGTGAAATTTGACCTCTACCTCATATCACACACAAAAACTGAGCTGTTTTATAGATCAAAATATTAAAGCTAAAACCATGAAGCATCTAGAAGGAAACATGAGAAAATCTTCACAATCTAGGCAAGGATTTCTTGGGTACAAAAGGCACCAATTATAAAAAAAAATAAATAAACTGAATATAAATTTTAAAAATTCTGCTCATCATGAAAGTAAAAAGGCAAGTCACACATATTCTCCAAACTGGATATATCCTAAATGTACATTAACAGGAGAATGAATCAAAAATTTGTGGTATATTCACCCAAAAGAATATTCCACAGTAATGAAATGAACAAACCACAACTACATGTAACATCATGAGAATAACCCAAATATAAAGCTGAGTGAAAGAAACAGACGCAAAGAAGTTCATACTATATAATTCCATTCACAGGAAGTTCAAAACTAATCAATGGTAACAGAAGTCAGAATGGCTACCTTTTCAGGGGATTATTAATTGGGAGGGGGCATAAGGGACATTTCTGGGGGCTGGTAATAGCCTATGCTTAGATCTGCGTAGTAAACTGTTCATTTTGAAAACATCCATCAAACTGTATACTTAAAATTTATGCCCTTTTCTTTATTAATGCTATAGTTCAAAAAAAATATTTTTTAAAAAACAAGCAAGAATATAGAAGATTTGAACAGCAAAACTAATAAACTAATCCTAATGGATACATATAAAATACCTCACCCAAGCAGAAACACATTCTTTTTAATTCTCACAGAATATTTTTTAAAAATTGACCATATTCTAGGTCAAGGATCCACAATACAGCCTGTATGAACAAAACTGTACTATACTGGATACCTTTAATGGCAAATTCTACAAAACCTTCAGAAACAAATGATTATTATTTTAGAGAAACTTCCAGCGTACTAGAAAAGAGAAAGCAAACCCACTCATTAATAACTTAGGGGCCTAATTCTAGCCTGGTGCCTTTTCTTGTATGGCCTCCAAGCTAAGAATAGTGTTTACTTTTTCAACTAGTTGAAAATTTTGGGGGGGGATATGGTAATTATATGGAATTCAAAATCAGTCCAAAAACAAAATTTCATGGGAACACAGCTATATTCCTTCACTTACGTATTGCCTATGCTTGCTTTTACATAGCAATGGCAGAGCTCAATAGCTGTGACAGACACTGTGTAGGCCACAAAGCCTAAAATATTTACTACCTGGTCCTTTACAGGAAAAGTTTGTTGAGACCTATCCTATGGCATAAAAAGCAAGTTTCAAAAAATTTCAAGGAATTGAAATCATAAATCCATATTCTGTGCTCGAAGAGCTATTAAATTAAAAATCCTCAATAAAAGGATAACTAGCATAAATCTCCATTTAGAAATGAAGAAAAACACTTCTAAATAACATAGGGGCCAACAAAATATTGGAAATTTAAAAATATGTTAAGCTAAATAATAATAAAAAATGGTATTATAATTTCTATGTCAAAACAGCACTTAGAGGGTATATGTGGGGTTAGATGCTTTTATCAGAAAGGAATAAAGGCTGCAACTTAATGAGATGGGCATCCATCTCAAGAAGTACTGAAAAACCAAAAGAATAAAATAAACTCAAAGAAGGAGGAAAGGAATAATAAAGAATAGTGCGCGTTAATGAA